AGTGGCAGTACAGATGAAAAGTGGTCAAATAGTGAATGCAGAAAACATCAAGTGTTCAGTAGATACATAGCATAAAGATAACATATAGGAAAACCAAAATCGCTGTCAATGGCAATAAAAAAGTGGCATAAGAAAATGGCAGCAAAGATGAAACGTGGCCTAATAATGAATGTAAAAAACATTAAGTATTCAGTGGGTAAATAGCATAAGGATAACATATAGGAAAAAACAAAATGCTGTCAATGGCGATATAAAAGTGGCATAAAAGAGTGGCAACAAAGATAAAAACGTGGCCAAATAGTGAATGTAAAAAAAATAATCAGGTGTTCAGTAAATGAAATAATATATGAAAAAACAAAATACGATTAATGGCAATAAATAGGTGGCAAAAATAGACACATAGTTCTCAAAAAAAACAGTCCCAAACAACACAAATGGTGTGTGTATCTTCAACACAAAGCCGTGAAAAATAAGTGACCACAGACAAATGGGTGATCCTTCACCGCCTAGTGTGCACTCTCACCTTCAAACTGAGACCCGCAAGGAGTCACAAAGCATAAATGCAGGTAGATGATCCCCATTTGGATGGATCTCAATGGTGAGACAAACGAAGGCTCCTCTCCATGGCATATACAGCAATCAGTAATACCGGTATCCTTAAGGGTGTGTAACTTTAAATCTCCTCCTCCTCCAAATTCCTCATAAGAAGGGATCAAAAGTAAGCTTCCGTAGTGCTGTCAGTAAGGCTTTATTAATATGTATAAAAAGAAACTACTCACAAGTGTAAATGGGGTCTGCAGACCCAAAAGGCAATCACTGTATTTCAAACAGTACAGGGTGTATGAAGTTGGGAGTACCAAGATGGCGGCTGCCGTCCATACCGGAATGACGTCACCACGATTCCGTCCAATGGGTCGCAGTTTGAAGGTGAGCGTGTACACTAGGCGGTGAAGGATTGCCCATTTGTCTGTGGTCACTTATTTTTCACGGCTTTGTGTTGAAGATACACACACCATTTGTGTTGTTTGGGACTGTTTTTTTGTGAACTATGTGTCTATTTTTGCCACCTATTTATTGCCATTAATCTTATTTTGTTTTTTCATATATTCTTATGTATTTAATTCACTGAACACTTGATTTTTTTTTACATTCGCTATTTGGCCACATTTTAACTTTGTTGCCACTCTTTTATGCCACTTTTATATCACCATTGACATAATTTTGTTTTTCCTATGTTATCCTTATGCTATTTATCCACTGAACACTTGATGTGTTTAACATTCACTATTTGGCCACGTTTCATTTATGTTGCCATTTTCTTATGCCACTTTTTTATCGCCATTGACAGCGATTTTGGTTTTCCTATATGTTATATTTATGCTATTTATCCACTGAACACTTGATGTTTTCTGCATTCACTATTTGACCACTTTTCATCCGTACTGCCACTTGATACACATATTGTGGATTCAATCCTGTGGATATTACTTTGCACATTAGTTATATGGTTCTATGTGGATTATTCACGCATGTTTGGGTTTATGTGATTGTTCACTCATTTATTTATTAGTAGTGCAGATTTTTATACACATATTGTTTTTGTTTATGTGTATTGTTTATTCAGTTTTATTCACTTTTAGGTTGAGTAGCACAGCACCATTCTTCTTCACAAAATAGAACAAGAGAGACATATAGCAGAGGACAGTAAATTAAAAAAAAAAATCTCAAAGTTTTTAAAATATATTAATAGTAAAAAAGCAAGGTCAGAGCATATTGGCACCATAAAGAATGATCAGGGGAAGTTGGTTACAAATGACAAGGAGCAGGCAACTGTACTAAATGCATTCTTCTCCTCAGCTTTTACAAAGGAAAATGAGGGATAAAATAATAAGGACAGTATTGTTAGTACCCTTGTGGCTACAGAAGTCAGTGTCCAAACAAAACAACATAACTAAATCACCAGGACCAGATGGCTTACATCCGAGAGTCCTCAAAGAACTTAGCCAGGTATTAGCCAGACAATTATTCCTAATTTTTAAGGACAGCGTAGTGACTGGAATGGTACCAACTGACTGGCGAAAAGTCAATGTGATACCAATATTTAAAAAAGGCCCAAGCTATACCTGGAAACTACAGGCTAGTCAGCCTAAAATCAATAGTATGTGTAGTGCTACCCCCGGAGGAGCCCCTTGTATTTTTGCCCAGGTTTTCCCCTTTCTTCGCCCCACAGCCAGGCACAAAGTATTTTCCTCAAATAGGTACACACACTCTTTCGCTCGATGTCTTCAATGCCCAGTCTAGGGGATATTTGTTTTTGGAGTTTTATTGTAGAACCGGGGATAGGAATGGATAATTTAGTAGGATACTCCAAAATTAGAACTAGTCACAATGAGGACATCTGAACTTCTTTTAGCTGAGCACTGTTGAAGTCCTGGCTGAAAGCAGATAGCAAACCTCTCTTTAAAGTGTAGCAACAAGTAGTTTCAGAGTTTGCAAGGCCCCTTTTTTTTTTTAGTAGTAGTGATTACAGAGCTAAGTTCCTCAAGTACAAGCCAGTTACGGCACACTGCGACAGCCCAAAGGTAATGTAGCTGAGCAAAGTCCTATGCAGTAGCAACAGTTGGACCAACTCTTCAGAGCACTAGCCAGTGTTCCCTTTTTCTCAGACCCAAGCTGACTATCAAGCACCAGAGAGGTAACAGAGTGCACAGAGTCCCCAAGATGTCTCAATGTCCGTACTCACAAAGCCCAAGGACAGAATGGTAGCCTCCTTCCAAACTTCCAAGCGAAACCCTCTAGTGATACCAGACGGATCTTTGGCAGACGGCTCCCCTCAGTCAGCTTACTGTAGAACCAGGCAGGTAGGTAGCTTTAATACAGAACAGGCAAAGCATGTTTAAAAATCCTGCCTGTCCACCCATTTCTAATTCTTACCTAAAGTTCCACTTTAATAAGGGGAAAGAGTAGTGTTAGATGAACTAGCAGATTCAGATGAAACCGGACTAATAAATTAAACTCCAGCTGACACTTAAGCAGTTACAGCAACTATTTTTAAGCTTTTGGAACAAAGGTTTTTATTTAATTGAATAGTGGTCTGCAGAAATCTTACCAGCAATGCAACCATTGGCTCACCAGCTGCTGACATCTTCCTGGCTTTTTCTGGATACCAGGTTTTTAGCCTCTTTGTTGGCCAGAGGAGATGACGCACATGCGTCATTCATTCATCTTGGCACACTCGCGCTGAGCTGCGTATTTATGTGTGTGTGTGTGTGTGTGTGTGTGTATATATATATATATATATATATATATATATATACACACACACATACACACATACACGCATACATACACGCAGCTCAGCGCCAGTGTGCCAGGATGAATGAATGATAAAATCACAGCCAGAGAAGCTTACATCTTTTTGCAAACAAACTTAGCCACAGCAATGACTAAGGCTGTTTGCCAAAACATGTAAGCTTCTCTTGCAGTCATTTTCCAGTTGTATTAGGACTGCAACTAACATATATTTTCATAATCGGTTAGCTGGCCAATTGTTGTTTCGATTAATCGGATAAAAACTTTAAAAAAAAAAGTTTGGTGTATAATGTAGCCAGAATAGAAAACTTCTTTCAGTACCGGTTCATATGTATGCGGATTGGATGCAGTTTGAACCACATCCAATCCGCATGACATGTGCAATAACATTGCTTCTTATGGTGCCTGTTCACATATGCCCGGTACACTACTGGTGCTGATTTAGTGCGGCTTGAAAAAGAGTCATGTACAATTTTTGAGCAGTGCTGTCAGATTCAGGTGCGAATTACAGGCTATTGACTTCTATTGGAACCATTTCTAAATAGTTTCTAAATCTAAAAATGGGTGAACAGGATAAAATTCTGACCTAATCCTGTCCTGAACTTGATGTAAACCTGACATGAATTGCTGAACAACTACTGTGTCAATTAGCTGTGAAACCTGAGCTTCAACCCGCAAACCACGGCACGTGTGAATCAGCTCTCAATCAAACCAATTTTCAAACGTGTATGTGGTTCTTGTTCAAAATCTATATTCATTTTAAAACTGAATGTTAAAAGCAAGTGATATTCATCAAATGTACAAATAATTTTTGAAAGAACATTCTTATGAATATTCTTGTCCGAAAATCAATACATGTATGGCCAGCATAAGACATTTAGTAGCAGCAGCAAGCTTTTTTTTATCACCTGTCGTGATGGGGTAAAAAAAACCAAATTGTCAAAAACAGCAGATAATCATCACTATAAAGGGTTTATTTATACTGTGAAACCGTGATATATATATTATATATACATACACACACATACATACTGTACATATATACACACTGTCACGTGTGCCAGGCTTGCTCCTCTCCCTCACTGCAGCTTCGCCCACCTCTCCCCCCTTCTCATCCTGTCACGGCTCTTTGAAGCTGAGCCACCCAGGATGAGAGGTGGGACTCAGTTGTCACTGTGCCCGGCTCGCTCCCTTCCCCCTCACCGCACACAGCCCTGAAGCAGGCTGTGCAGGATGAGGGGAGGGGACCACTGTGACCCTCCCCTTTCCAGGAAATCCCGGCGGGGGGCCGCTGGGAGGTCTCTGCACGCCCCCGGCAGGCGCAGGGCTTCCCTCGCTCAGCGCCCCGCCGGAGACAAAGGCCGTGCTTCCTGTGCATGGCCAGAGTGAGGGGGGGCGAGCCAGAAGTGTCCCGCACAGCTTTTAAAAGGCCAGCGCGAGACCAGGCTCGCTCTCTCTCTCTTCCTCCTACGCTGTCCGGGCGCTCTCCCTCGACCCGCCACCACCGCTCTTGTGGGAGGTCTGGGTGGGGACCGAGCCCCCACAGCCATCCCCGCTGAGTGCTCTGCATGAGCCCCCTCCTCAAAGGTCAGGCCCCACAGCCATTACTCCCGCTGCTGTTCAAGGCAAGCCGGATGATCGCTGGGCCCCTGGAGAAGCTGGCCGCTGTGAGGGCCCCTGCCTGCTGATCACTGGGCCCCTGGAGAAGCTGGCCACTGTGAGGGCCCCTGCCTGTTGATAGCTAGGCCCCTGGAGAAGCTGGCTGCTGTGAGGGCCCCTGCCTGCTGATCGCTGGGCCCCTGGAGAAGCTGGCCGCTGTGAGGGCCGATGTCCATTGCTGAGGGTCCCTGGAAGCTGCCTGCTGCCGAGCGTCCGCAAGTCGCCTACCTCCCTGGAAGCCGCCTGCTGCTGAGTGTCTGCAAGTCGCCTACCCCCCCCTGGAAGCTGCCTGCTGCTGAGCATCTGCAAGACGCCTACCGTGAGTGTCCCTAGAAGCCCTGAACTGCCCCTAGTGTGCGCACAGACTACCCGTGTCCTGAACTGTCCCTGTTGTGCGCACTGACCACCCGTGTCCTGAACTGTCCCTGTTGTGCGCACCAACCACCCCGTGTCCTGAGCTTTCCCTGTTGTGCGCACCGACCACCCATGTCCTGAACTGCCCCTGTTGTGTGCACAGACCACCCGGGTCACGAACTGCCCCTATTACACTCCCAGACTACCCTTACTTGAACCGCCCCATGGCGTGCCTGGAGTATAGCTACCTGTGATGCCCCTGAGTGCTTGAGCCATCGCTACCCATTGAGTCTCCGTGAGCCCGATGTCCCTAGAAAGCTGGGTGGGAGCTGTGCTAGGCCAGACTCCACAGCCCAAGTCCCGTTGAGTCCCCATGAGCCCGATGTCCCTAGAAAGCTGGGTGGGAGCTGTGCTAGGCCAGACTCCACGGCCCAAGTCCCGTTGAGTCCCCGTGAGCCCAATGTCCCTAGAAAGCTGGGTGGGAGCTGTGCTAGGCCAGACTCCACAGCCCAAGTCCCGTTGAGTCCCCGTGGGACCGATGTCCCTAGAAAGCTTGGTGGGAGCTGTGTTAGGCCAGACTCCACAGCCCGAGTCCTGTTGAGACCCCGTGAGCCCGATGTCCCTGGAAAGCTGGGTGGGAGCTGTGTTGAGGCCAGACTCCACAGCCCAAGTCTCGTTGAGTCCCCGTGAGCCCGATGTCTCTAGAAACCTGGGTGGGAGCTGTGTTAGGCCAGACTCCACAGCTAAAGTCCCTTTGAGTCCCCGTGAGCCCAATGTCCCTAGTACGCTATGTGGGAGCTGTGTTGAGGCCAGACTCCACAGCCAAGGTCCCGTTGAGTCCCCGTGAGCCTGCTTACCGTGGGTGTCCCTACAAGCCGCATGTCGCGGAGTGCTATGAACTGTTCTGATTGATTGTCTTTCAGAGTTCAATAAAGCTTTGTGTGTTCTCCATCTTCTTTGTGTGTTCTGTCCTGCCTGTGCTTCCATTACACACACATTAATAAATTTACCCAGAATTAGGCTATACAGGGTATTTTACCTGAGCTTCAGACATGAAGCTATATGAAGGGTGGAGGGGGAATAAAATCTTTTATATTAAATTAGTTCTAAAGGTTGAGACTTTTTTTTGCATGGATATAATCATTTTAAATATAATGCACAATACTGGTAAACTTTTACATAAAATGTAATTGTAATGCCATATTACCTTCAGTCTATCAGCCTCCAACTTCCCTGCGTTCAGATGCTGATCTTCCCTGCACAGAGCCCATAAAGTGGTTGTAAACAATTTTTTTTTTAAGCAACAAACTTATCATGCTTACCTGCTCTGTGTAATGGTTTTGCACAGAGCAGCCCCAATCCTCCACTTCTAGGAGTCCCTCAACGATGCTTCTGCTTCCTCCTGCCTTCAGAGTGCCCCCATAGAAAGCTGCAAAGTATAGTATAGCATGCCCCTATATCAGGGTAAAAAAACCTTCTACCTTTGTCACTTTCTTCTCCTGCCCCATGAGGCATTGCTCCTCACACATTCACAAGTTCTCTGGCATTTACTGCCATGTATGGACAGTTTACTAAGCTGTATGTGTGCTTCACTGTATTTTCTGGTATATAAACAAATAATACATTCTGTATGCAGGCCTAACTAATCAGCTGACCCCCCTGCCCCAAAGCACCCCTCCATGTTAACAGGTGACCCTGTCCCTTTGTTTATTTACTGTCGGCACTGGGCGCTGGAGCTGTCAGATTATGAAAATATTTGACAACTATTTTCATAAACGACTATAATCGATTAGTTTCAGCCCTAGCGTTAATAAAAACTATGTTTTAGCAAGGATATTTGTCGGGTACATGCCTTCCTATCTTGGGCTAGACCAGGGGTGGGCAAACTTTTTGACTTGAGGGCCGCAATGGGTTCACATATTGGACCCGGGGGCCGGACCAAGAGTAGATGAATGATGTGTATGTGTCATCCATAGTAAGTATAGTAATATTCCCCCATAGTAAGCATAGTAATTAATCCCCCATATAGTAATTCATCCCCCATATAGTAATTCATCCCCCATATAGTAATTCATCCCCCATAGTAATTCATCCCCCATATAGTAATTCATCCCCCATAGTAATTCATCCCCCATATAGTAATTCATCCCCCATAGTAATTCATCCCCTATATAGTAATTAATTCCCCATATTAATTCATCCCCCATATTAAGTCCCCAAGTCCCCCCTGTGTCAATTCACTTACCTTTGTTCCTCTCGCCATGTTCCCGCGCCGTTCCGGTGTAGTATGAAAATCTGTCTCCTATGAGGATCTGTCCCCCTCGACGTATCTGCGCATGTGCCAGTTTCAGGCATTAGCAGCCGATCGACGATCTCCGGCACATGCGCAGATACGTCGAGGGGGGGCAGATCCTCATAGGAGACAGATTTTCATGCTACACCGGTCTTCAGGGCGGACTGTGAGAGGAGCCTAGCTCCCCACGCTCCGCGGGCCGGATTAAAAGGTCCGCCGGGCCGTATACGGCCCTCGGGCCGTAGTTTGCCCATTGCTGGGCTAGACATATGCGGTTCGATTTGTTCCGAATTTCAATTTGGAAAAAATGTTCATTATTCGGAAAGTAGGATGCATCCAAATTTCTGAATATAACAGTAATGTATTTCAATGAATCCGAGTGAAACATTACAAAAATTAATTTGTTTCATTTGGATCCGAATAAAAAAAAAAAAAAGATTCTAATTTTTTTAATAACCCTAGGTTAACATCTAAGCGTTTTCCGCAGTGTTTTGCGTTTTGCAGAAATGCATTACAGTCCATTTAACATGATTTTCTATGAGGCACATTCACATCTCTGCATTTTCACCCGGTGCGGTTTTTGGAAAGGGTCAGGAACTTTTTTGAACACAAAAAGTTGCGTTTTTGGTTCTATAGACTTCAATGGAAATGCTTGCAGAAAAGCAAGTAGTTCATTTGTGCTGCGTTTTAAATCTGCCTAGCAATAAAAAAAAGACACCAAACGTGTAAAAAAGTGTGTGCAAAAGCACAAAACGCACTAGAGAAATGGATCAAACGCAAACTGCATAGGCATGAACCTACCTTACCAGAGCAGAACCGCATGCCAAAAAACAAAACAAAACACAGCGTGGGATCCCCTAAAAGATCAATACCAGACCCTTATCCAAGCATGGAGCCCAGCAGATCAGGAAAGGGGGGGAGAACTAGCTGCCCCCCCCCCAAACCATAACCAGGCCACATGCCCTCAGTACATTATTTTAAAAGAAAAATAATTAAAAAAAAAAAAAGCAATGTCCCCTGAAGTAAATGCAATGTCAATCACGATTACCACTGCCACTATCACCTAGCTGAAAAACAAACAAAAAATACAGTCCACTCTCCTTACTGGATCTCACCAACTGACAGCTCTGGTTCCCACCAACAGTAAATAGACAAAGTGGCGTGGTCACCGGTGACAGCGGGTGGCCTCGCACCTTTGTTTACCATTGCTAGGCAGTCTCTGACTGACAGCTCCAGAACCTAATGCCAATGGTAAATAAACAAAGGGGTGGGGTCACCTGTCAATGGGTGACCACACCCCTTTTTTATTTACCAACAGCAGAAATTGGAGGTGTCAGTCAGAAATCACTTAGAGAGCAAGAATCCCGCTGCCAGCAGATGAGTCATGGTTTTTAGGGATGCAGCAGCTGGGAGGCCTCGCCGTTCCTTAACAACCAGCTATTCGTCACAATTAATTTAAATGGATTCCAAATTTTCCATTTGAATTCCATTCAAATACTTCAGATCCATTGGAAAAATTTCAAATCTGGTCGCAACTAAATTAAACGAATTTCGTTACGAAAGCAACAAAACAAAACTAGTAACTTAATGAACTGAAATGAAACAAAATTACTTATTTTGTTCTGTACATGGCTATTGTAGGAGTTTAAAGTGCCATGAAACACCAATGACTGTGGATTTTACAAAGTCACAGACCACCAATGATTGTGGGATTGTTTGGGGAGGTTAAAGTTTTTTGGGTTTATCCATGACATCAAGCAATTACAACAATGCATTTTCAAAGAATGCAATGCAATATCATCCCGGAGGGAACTTCCACCAATAACAGAAGACTTGCACTTGTCAGTGGGTAATTTAAGATTAAGCACACCTTAAACCCATTAAAAACAGCAAGTTTCCTCATTTCTAAAAATTGTTGCAGAAAATAAGATTAACTAAAAATATAACCTAGTTGTTATAAAATGTCACCAAAGAAAGTTCTATACAGTATGTCTAAAATAATGATATTAATGGTATAAATGATCAAATCAATTTCGGTAGTGTTGCACAACTGACTAATTGTCAGTCAAAATCTGACAGCACTGAAAACTGAAAAATGGCCTGGAAAGAAAGTGCGTGGAACATGCTGGTATTGAGATTAACATTTAGACTTAAAGTACACCAGTCACCTCAGCAAATTCTTTTAAAAACATGTAGAACTTTAAAGCAATTCTAAAGGTTCATTTTTTTAAAAATAACAAACATGTCTATACTTACCTGCTGTGTGCAGTGGTTTTGCACAGAGCAGCCTGGATCCTTCTCTTCTCGGGTCCCCCGCAGGCTCCCCTGGCTCCTTCTCAGGTGCCCCCACAGCAAGCAATTGGCTATGGGGGCACCCGCTCCTCCGTGTGTCCATTCACACATAGATCTGTGGCTTGGCCCCCCTCTCCTAATTGGCTGACTGACTGTGATTGACAGCAGCGGGACCCAATGAAAGTAAAAAACCTTGAGCCTTTATAACCACTTTAATTAAACAATTTAAATAAAGGAATGCGCTAAAACCACAAACTATTCCTAATTTAGTGTAGAAACATTAGTGCAAAAGATATATATATCTATTCTCAATTAATATAAAAAAACATCAAAATTATGTGCAAAACAATTTTTTTGTGCATAAGTAATTTAAATAATTAAATTTGTGAATATAAAAATTGTCCAATTTTGAATTTCTTCAAATGTCCAAACAAATCCTTTTCAAATTCAAGTGCTCTCAAAGAAATTGTGCCAAAATCCACCACCAAAGTAAAGTTGGGTAACTCACCAGAGCTCCATGCTGATCAATCTGTAGATCAGCAAAAAACGCTTTTTGCTCTGGGAGCAGATGCAATAAATCAACTTCTCAGGTGTGATGATCAATAGCTACACAATCATCCATAAGGTAGGTATCCACCACAAAATATAACAGTTCCAGGAGCATTATATCACTGTAAAGGACCGCCCGGCGGTACCACTAGCACTCCACTGAATAGGCATCCCCAGCGCACGGAATCTAAGTCCCAGGGTGCTTGTTCACCAGGGCCCCTGATGGTGGGGATGGACTTGGAGCCCCCCGAGACCAGGTCGTGGCTACTGGGTACGTCCGTCAGTGGTGGTGGTATGCGCCAAGGGCTTCCACGGGGTAGAGTCTGATATGAGGAGGTCAGAAGATCCCACTGCGAGGGATGGACGGATGGATGGATGAGCAAGG